CCCACAGACCCCCCCCCTCCCCCCGCGGGCCCCTTTTGTACGTGGAGCGACGCCCCCGGTTTTGTATCTCGGGCTGTCCCGGTTCTGTAGCGACAGGAAATAAACGCGATGAGTTTTTTCTTCAGCGGGAGCCACGAAAACGGAGGAAAACGGGAAGGGGGGGGGGAAAAACGGGGATAGCGGGGGGGGGGGCAGCGGGCGGAGTGTTTGTAACGGGGCGCGTTTCCGGGGGGGGAACCGTGAGGGCCGGATCGCGCGGGGGGGAGCGGGAAGGGACGGACCGCTTCCGGCGGAAGTGGCTGAGGGGCGGCGCGCGGGAACCGGGGCTCGCCATGGAACCGGGGCCGGCCCCGGGCCCTGACCCCGCCACGGGCCCGGGCCACGAGCCCGAAACGGGCCCGGTGCCGGGAACTGACCCGGCAGCCGACCCCGACGTGGAGCCGCTGCGCCGGGGCGGCTTCCGCTGCCGCCTGTGCCAGATCACCGCGGCCAACCGTGAGTGAGGGACGGGGGGCGCCGGGACCCCAATTCCCGGGACCGGGGTGGGGCTCTGAGGTCCCGGTTAACGGGACCGGGGGGACTCTGGCACCCCGGTTAACGGGACCGGGGGAACTCTGGCACCCCGGTTAACGGGACCGGGGGAACTCTGGCACCCCGGTTAACGGGACCGGGGGTCTCCGAGACCCCAATTACCGCGCGGGGAGGGGTCTCCCATTCCCCCATAACCCCCGGTACCGGCACCGGCGGGGCTCTCCCGTGCCCGGTGACCCCAGCACCGGTCCTGGGGGGTCTCTCACCGTAATTCCCGGTCTCGGGGGGGGTCTCTTACCCCAATTCCCGTTCCCGGGCGTCTCTCCCGGTCCCGGTGACCGCCGTTCCTATTCCCGGGGGTCTCTCTGGCTCCCGGTTCCCTCTCCCGGTTCCCCGGGCCCAAATTCCCTCTCCCGGTTCCGGTGACCCCAGTTCCCGGTTCCCGTTCCCGGTTCCCATTCCCGGTTCCAGTCCCGCAGGCCCCAGCCTGCAGTCCCACCTGGCGGGGCCCGGTTCCCGTTCCCATTCCCGTTCCCGGTTCCCATTCCCGTTCCTGGTTCCCATTCCCGGTTCCCATTCCCGTTCCTGGTTCCCATTCCCGTTCCCATTCCCGTTCCCATTCCCGGTTCCCATTCCCATTCCCGTTCCCATTCCCGTTCCC